GTCAAGCATCTTTTCACTGCTCATTTACCATTTGTACATATCCAGCAATGAAATGTCACCTTCTCCCTTAAGTTGATTTTTTCAGGGTATTTTATCACAGTAACAAGTGACAAAAACAGGTATTAAGGGAATAAGGATGATCACTTTGACGAAACCATTACTGTGTGTACAAAAGCCAATTACTCAACCATGTAGCTCAAACAGCTTCCATCCCAACAGAGCAATGGTTCTTAAATGGAAACATATTCCCTCTAGGAAATAGATGGCAATATCTAGATATTTTTTGCTTGTCACAACTGGAAAGATGTTGTTGGCATCATGTGTATAGACCAGGGATATTCCTAAATATCCAACAATGCACATGATGGCCCCTGAAGGTTATCTTGCAAAAAAAAAAAAAAAGAGGAAAAAAATCTAGTAGTGCAGTACCAGAGAAACAAGCAAGTGCAATAAAGCAGACATGTCAGCACGAATGACATACACAGGCATGAGGGTGCAAAGTTTAACTCATGAAGCATAATGGGCGACTAAAGCTTAAACTGAGCTAGAAATGTGGTGGGGGAGGGGATCAAGAATATGAAAATGAGAGACATGTTCTGTACATATCTGGGGAATGACAATGGGGTAGGAGAAAACTTAGAGGCAGACAAGAGGGATGGGACAAAATGAGGCAAAACCAACACCAGATCACACACTAGGTCAGGAGTTTGGACTTGGCCTGTGAAAGAGTGGGAAGAGAATGGTAACAATGAGAAAGATCATTCTTGCAGCATTCTGAAGAATGGTTTGACAACAAAACATGGTAAAGACCTGTAAGTAAACCACTGACATAATCCAGACCAGATTAAGATAACACATAGAACCAAAGCACAGTGGTAGTTAATCTTGGGTTATCAATCTGACTGACTCTGGGATCAAATAAGAAATCTACTTCTGAACAGGTCTACGATGGTATTTCTTAAAAGGATTAACTGAGGTGCAAAGACCTCCCCGTCTGGCAACAGCCCAGATATGGAGTTCTGAGGGAAACATACAGCTGCTTTTTCCCTTCCTGTCTTCACCCCTTGCTGATGAATGCACCTACCCTGTTGCTGCCATTGCAAAGCCCAGCTTCTTTGGCTTCCAACATGGGCTGAAGACTAGCAACTCTTCAGAAACCTTCCAGGCCTTCAGAGGCAGATTGGGACTGCTGAAGCATATAACCTAAGGACTGAGCAGTCACCAGGTTCTCAACCTTCCAATGTATAGGTGGACCACTGTCGGACTACCCTGCCAACATCATGTAAGCCAATTCAACAAATGCCCTTTGTAACAGATATTCTATTGGTTCTAGTCCTTTAAAAGCACCAAGAATATAAAACAATGGACTGGTAGTTCTAGTCAGTGATTCAGTTAAAAAGAAATTAAAATCTACTTTTAAGCACCATTCTCAGAGGAGTTTTTAAAAAATTGTCACCCCACTTAGATCTCTTATAAGATATAGACAAGAAAAATATTAAGTATCTACCTGTATTCTCAGAGCTGGAGAGACAGCTCAGACATTGGTGAGCACTTTCTCTTCCAGAGAACCCGAGTTCAGTTCCCAGCACCCGTATCACCCCATAATCACCTGTAACTAACTCCAGCTCCAGAGGATTCAACACCCTCTTCTGGCCTCTGAGGGCACCCACAAGTGACACATACGTAAGTAAAATTTTTAATTTTTTTTTTCTTTTTGACACAGGGTCTCCCTGTAGCCCGAGCTGTCCTGAACTTGGTATGCAGACCAAGCTGGCCTCGAACTCAAGAAGATACACCTGCCTCTGCCTCCCAAGACCTGGGACTAAAGGTATGTGCCACCATGTCCAGCTTAAAATTTTAAATCTTTAAAATATGCATGTATTGTTACAGTTTGAAATGATTTTTCCCCAAATTTTTACATCTTCTTTAATGTGTATTAAGTGCTTTCCCTGCATGTATGAATGTACTGTAGGCATGTCTACTACCTGCAGAGGTCAGATCCCCTGGAACTGGTTTTCCAGATGGCTGTCAGTCACCATGTGGTGCTGGGAACTAAACCAGGTCCTCTCAAGGGCAAATACTCATCACTGTTGAACCATCTCTCCAGCCTTTTTTTTTTTTTTTTTTTTGGTCCTTTTGAGACAGTCTCCCTGTAGCCCCAGCTGGCCTAGAACTCACTCTGTAGACCAGGCTGGCCTTGAACGAAGATTTCTCTGCCTGCCTCTGCTGTGATGGTTTGAATGAAAATGTTCCCCATAGTCTCCAAGTATTTGGACATTTTTGTTCCCACGTGGTGGCGCTGTTTTGGGAGGTTTTAGGTGTGGCTATCCTGGAGGAAGCATGTCACTGGTGGTGGGCTTAGAGACCACCATGCCTCCCTGACATGATGGACTGTAATTCCCCTGGAACCACAAGCTCAAATAAACTCTTCCTTCTATAAATTGCTTGGGTCAGTGTTTCTAATCACAGCAACAGAAAAGTGACTAATACAAGGGTCTCATGTGGTCCAAGCTGGCCTCAAACTCTCTACATAGCCAAGAATGACCTTGAACTTCTGATCCTCCTACCTCCACCTCTGCCACATGTCAGATTTTTTTAAGTTTTCACTTTTTAAAGATTTTTAATTATATGTATATGTGTATTCCTGCATCTGCAGAGGCCAGAAGAGGATGCCAAATCCTTACAGCTGGAGTTACAGGCAGTTTGTGAGAGGCCTGACATGACTTATAATTTTACAGTAAAAGATTAATGAAAATAACTTCACTTCTCCAACAGTCTTATAACAGCAAAGTGGAAGGATAACTTATATGTACAGTTAATTCAGAGAGGATCAGAGGCATAATGAATTTGAGGTTCGCCTGGGCTACATTATGCCATCTCAAAAACCAATCATAGGGCTAGTGAGCTGGTTCAGCAGGTAAAGGCACTTACTGCTAAGTCTGATGGCCTGAGTTTGGTCCCTGGAACCCACATGGTGGAAGAACACCCAAAAGTTGACCTTTGACCTCAATTTGCACACTGTGGTGTACATACCCACACACAGAGATCTGCCTGCCTCTGCCTCCCGAGTGCTGGGATTAAAGGCGTGTGCCACCACGCCCAGCCAAAATACAGTATTTTGAAAATATGACTTTTTTGGGGGGGGGGTCATTTTGAGACAGGGGTCTCTCTGTGGCTCCAGCTGTCCTGGAACTCACTATGTAGACCAGGCTGGCCTTGAACTCAGAGATCCGCCTGCCTCTGCTTCCCAAGTGCTAGGATTAAAGGCATGCGCCACCACGCCCAGCCACTAATCATTAAATATGACCTATGAGCCAGGTATGGTGGCACATATCTGTAATTCCAGCATTCAAAGGGCCATGGCAGGACTGAGAATGAGGCTACCCTGGACTATATAGTAAAACTTCATCTCAAAATCCGAAGTTAAACTGAATATGATGGCAGACACATAGAATACATATAAATGGGAGGTAGAAACTGGCAGACATAGAAAGTTCAAGACCAAGCTGGGTGTGGTGGCACATGCCTTTAGTCCCAGCACTTGGGAGGCAGAGGCAGGTGGCTATTTTTGAGTTCAAGGCCAGCCTGGTCTATACAGCAAGCTCCAGGCCAGCTGGGGCTACAGGGAGACCCTCTCTCAAAGACAAAAAAAAAAAGTTCAAGGCCAGTCTTGGCTTCTGAGACTTTGTTTCAAAAAAAAATTTTTTTTTGGTGTGTGTGCACATTTGCGAATATGCACATGGAGGCCAGAGGACAATCTCTATTCCTTAGAAGTGCACCACTTTTTGAAAAAATATTGATAATTTCATACATGTATATACTTTTATCATATTCACCCATCTCTCTCCTCTCCTTCCTCTCTCCTTCCCTCCCACCTGCTCTGAGCCATTTGCTGGCCCATCACAATTCTTTATCAATTATCTTGTGTCAAAATGGAAAGTGAAAAACAAATTTCTCAGTAATAGTGGGTTACCAAAGTCCTTTAACAAGGGGAGGGGGCTACAGATGTAGCTCAGTTGTTAGCACTCTTTGCCTAGCATGCACAAACCCTAGGTTTTAATCCCCAACAACATATAAACCTGGTTTTAATAGTATATACAACGATCCTTGCACTTGGGAGATGAAGACAGGATAATCAGAAGTTCAAGGTCACAAAGCCAGTCTGAGCACTTAAAAAAAATACCCTAGCCATGGTGGCACACTCCTTTAATCCCTGTACTCAAGAGGCAGAGGAAGGCAGAACTCCAGGACTGCCTGGTCTACATACATAGTTTCAGACAAGCCAGGGCTACTTAGTGAGACCCTGTCTCAAAAAAAAAGTGGGTTGGAGAGATGGCTCAGTGATTAAGAGCACTGGGCTGCTCTTGCAGAGGACCAGGGTTTGAGTCCCAGCACATGGCAGCTAACAACCTTCTCTAAGTCCAGCTCGAGAGGATCCAACACCTTCTTCTGACCTCCTTGAGCACTGCACTTCATGGGTACACTTACATACATGCAGGCTCATACACCTAAAATTTAAAAATTTTTTAAAGTTAAAAAAAAAAAAAAAAAAGACAGAGTCTACCAATGTTCAGTCACAGATGGGGAATGGGATCATGGGAGGGGTGATTGTCTGCTGATGGGTTCTAGAGGAAAGGGGGAGTTAATCATCTTCAATGATACAGCCTGTGGAGTTGCCTATGCTCCAGTCGATAGCTCCATACTCACACTCACATGGACAGCCTCAGTTAAACTCAGCGGGTCACAAAACAAAAACACAAGGTAGCTAACAACCTTCTGTAACTCCAGTTTCAGGAATCTGATACCCTTTTCTAGCCTCTGTGGGCACTGCACACGTGGTACACTTACATACATGCAGACGAAACACTTAATACACATACAATAAATCTTTTTTTTTTTAAGTCAAGGGGATAAAAATATGGCTCAGTGGTAGAGTGTTCACTAGCAAAAAGGACCAGCATCACAGAGCAAAACAAATAAAAACCACTTACAAATAGAAGTAAATATTTCAATTAAGTATCTTTTTATTTATTTATTGTGTGCATGCACACACATGCCGATCAGAGGACCTTTGGAAAGTGGTTCTTTCCTTGCACCAAGTGGGACCTGGGAATCAAACTCAAGTTGTTAGGCTTAGTAGCAAGCACCTTTACTCACTAAGCCATCTTGTCAGCACTGATTTAACATTTTTAATTAAGCTCTGAAGCTTTTTTTCTTTTAGAGTTACAAAAATAAAAATATGAACAAATCTAATTCCAAATATTTACTTGTTTTGATTTGTGCACTAACACTATTTTGGTAAACTACTTATTCAACCGCTTCTTCAGGTTCTCAAGGTGTTCCACGCTAACATCCTGCAACTCAAGCACCACTGCTTTACCTGAAGAAGGATCAAAAGAAATAGTCATTAGGCAACACAGATCTATTAGACCTCTCTGACATCTCTGCAACCCTTCTTGGAACTTTTGATATTTGAGAGGGTCCTTTTTTAACTGTTTCATTTCTGGTACTGAAAATCCTATCAAACTAGTCAGTATCTCATCTACAAAATCTACATCTAGATATGTAGTACCATCAGAAACCTTTGCAGTAACACTCCAAATGCCACCAGAACTTGAGAGATTTCCAGTTAAGGTGACAATGAATGCTTTGACTCTCACTGTGGTAACTTCCTTTGGTTTGCTGGCCATTAGAACAGACAAATAGATAAAGGGTGGAGAATACAAATCCATGCCAGTGGACAGACTGGTAATATTCTCAAATGATCTAGAAGAACAAGTCTGTAAATGGTGGCCATTTTCATTTGAAATTTGTGAACTACTTTTTGAGACAGAGTTGCCCAATTTTCTATATAATATTTTATTGCTTAAGGAATGTTCATCTGAACTGTTGGTTTGTTTTGTTTTATTACCTGTCTTTGAAGTCTTATCTTTATTTGTAAAATCATGGGCTAAGAGTACATTACGATGACCTAAAAAATCACTGTTTTGATCTCTAGAAGATGGACAACCAAAAGATTTTTTTTCAGGAATTATTTGTTCAGGTAATTTTTTTTCTTTCCAGCTGTTGTTTTCTTGTTTGTGTGTCAAAGACAAATCACTCATAGTATTAGGTTTATGTGAAAATATCTCTATACACTCATCTGTGTTTCTGTTCCAAGTCAATGGCTGCAATTCTTTTGTCTTCAGCTGTTCTTTCTGGACAGCTTCTTCTAAAAGCAAGGCCTCTTCCAATGAGAAGTCATCAAATTCCCCATCAGTGAAATGCATGGACTGGTTTGGTGGTTTTTCCATTTGTCTTGAAGAAATAGTCAATTCTGGCTCATAACTAGACTGCCTTATGGAGGCAGAGTTTGGGGACTTGCCTGTGTTGAAATGTCTTTCCAAGGAGGTGTCATTATTTGTTGCAGGCTCATCATTTTCATCAAAACCTGCCAAGAGTTCTTCATCAGAGGGTCCTAATGCAGGATCTAAAACATCCATAACTCTGGGGATATTTTGGTTAAAGTTATTTGGTATGACCGAAACTATAGGATCAACTTCACCAGTTAATCTCGCAAGGACTTTTTCTTGGGCATATTCTTCTGAAAGACCATCTACTTCACCTCCTAACACCGTCACATTTTCTGGTTTTAATAAGAGAACACCAAGACGGAACAAAATGTGTCCATAAATCAAAACTTTTGTACCTGGAGGAAGATCAGCATGCAGAGCGGGAATTGACTGATACTCCATCCCCTGAACCTGCACAATCCCATCAGTGAGATACAGCATCAGCATTCGTGAAGACTTTGCTTCCCATGGTTTTTGGGTAATCTGTGGTTCAGCTGAAACTAGATCATTGGTTGTATTCTTCCCTCTCAACTTCTGTATCTGGGAATATGCAGGCTGACTTACATCAACCAAAGAATTAATCTGTAAAGCATAAAATCCATTCAATTCTCCTTTTGGAATTTCTAAAATGTCATCAGGTAAAAGAGGATATTCCAAATCGCTCAGATCGGTAAGAAGCCATTGCTCAAATACCTGGTTGTTTATTTGGGCCTGACTCAAATTAACATTATTATTTTCTTCTTGGATCCAGTTAAGACAAGCTTCCAGCCACATCAGAGGTACTTTAACATGCCATGTTGCTAAGAGCCAGGTTTCAACTCTTAAAGCAATACTACTTACACTCATTTCTTTTAAATAAAAAAAAATGTATCCACCTGAAAACAAAAAAACAAAAAAGGTAATTCAATATTTAAATATTTTATTTTTATTTTATTTTTATTTTATGTGTATGAGTGTATTGCCTGCATGTATGTGAGTGCACCTGTGTCGTGCAATGCCACGGAGGTCAGAAGAGGGCTTCGGATTCCCCTGGAACTGGAGTAAAGAACAGTTCATAGCTGCCATGTGGGTGCTGGGAATCAAACCAGGGTCTTCTGCAAGAGCAGTCAGTGCTCTTAACCACTGGGCCATCTCTCCAGCCCCTCAATATATTTTAATACAGCATCTATAATTCTCTAAAATGCACAAATAGGCCTCACTACCACATCCTTTGCTTCTCTCTCTAACACCTTGTCTTTCCACCTGGCTGATAGTCAACTGTGAGAAGCAATCAGACCGTATGAGAGGAGCAAAATGTTTGAGAGCTGGCTCTGTCAAAGTACAAGCTACATGACCTACTGTAAATTTTTTTTTAACTTTTCTAAGTCAGTATTTTCATCAGTATCACCATCTATCTTACAGGGTTGTTTAAAAGAATTATATGAATAATAAAGTATAAATGCCAAACCTTTGAAAGACATTCAGAAAATGGTAGCTATGTCAAAAGTAATAATCAGGTTTTAATAATTTAAAATTTATTTAAGAAAAAAGTTCACTAAGGTTCTATTAACATCTATAATTAACTTTAATTATATTTTCTTTCTTTGTTTTTTTGAGACAGGGTCTCACTATGTAACCCTGGCTGGCCTGGAATTTGCTATGTAGACCAGGATGGCCTCGAACTCACAGAGATCTGCCTGCTTCCACCTCCTGAGTGCCAGGATTAAAGGTGACTGCCACTGAGGCTGCCACCAACTTTAATTATATTTTAACTCTATTAAAACTTATATGACTATGCTAAATACATAGTTTAAGGATAAAATTTTAACAGACTTGTATTTGTATGCCTAAATATTCTCAACAGTGCTGCCAGGTATATTTAATTCCGATTTTCTCAGTATGATAAAGCTATAGCAAAACACTAAAGACTAAATTACATACTTACAAAAGTTTATTTGTTCCTTCTAGAGATTAAGCTATTTAAGGAGAACTTATTTAATATGTCTACAAGAAACTATGGGGCTGGAGAGATGGCTCAGTAGTTAAGAACACTGGCTGTTCTAGCAGAAGACACGGGTTTGATTCCCAGCACCCACGTGGCAGCTAACACTTGCCCATAGCTCCAGTTCCAGGGGATCCAATGGCCTCTTCTGTCCTCCACAGTCATTATACGAACAGGTGCACTTACATATATGTAGACAATGCATGCATACACATAAAGTAAAAATATAAATAAAATATTTTTAAAAAAGAAACTTACCACTTAGCACAGCAGCACAGGATCTGATGATAGGACTTCAAGCTGGTTGCTCAGTGGAGTACTCAAAACTTCTGCACAAAAATGGCCCTGAAACGTAAGACAAGAAGCAGTTAAGGATTCTAAAACAAAGCTGTAAGAACACTAGCATATTTTCACAAACACAAGAGTTTGATGGTATAGTTCCAAGGAATCCTTTATGGTCAGGGTAAAATGAAAGCAATACAGAAAACAAGAGTTCAGAGGGAGATAAACAGAAACAAGTGACCATGAGAAAATTACCCATTTAGGCTTGTTTATTTCACTGCAAAATTCCATGAACATTTAAGATAGGAGAGGCAGTGTATGACAGAACAGTTCAGAGTAAACTCGGGTGCCATACTGTCATTTAAAAGTATTTTTTAACATTTCTTTCTTTGGGAGGTAGAGAACATACTATGCTACGGTGTGGAGGTCTGAGGACAACCTTCCACAACGTGGCTTCCAAAGATCAAACTGTGGTGCTAAGTATCCTTACCTGCTGCGTCATCTTGGGGTAGGCAAGCAAAGGGACATTTTAGCCCCTATTTGCTTTGGGCTATGCACACCCTCCCTCATGTAACACTGCACTTGGCAGTCTAGCTCCTTCACCTGCAAGCACTATGCACACACCCCTTCCTAACAATGCACCCAGCAACCTCAGAACGCCCTCAAACCCCTGTCCGCATCAGGCTACACATACTCCCACTGCTGAACAATAAAGTTCTACCCCTAGTAACAATCAAATTCAGACAGTTTCATGTGTATTCCAGTGTATCAGATATGAAGAATAGAAGGCTCCATATGGCCTGAACTGGTTTGGGGCCCTTGTCTAGCATACACAACTCCAGGGTTTAATCCCCAGCATCAAATAAAACTGGGCATGACCTATGACCTCAGCACTCAGGAGGTGGAGGCAGAAGGGTCAGAAGTTCAAGGCTACCTTCAGCAACACTTCAGCCTGCCTGAGCTATGCAAGACCTATCTCAAAAATTAAAAAATAGAAAAAAGAATTACAATCTAAAGCAGGGTAGCTCACACCTGTAATATCCCCAAACTCAGGAGCTGAAGACGATTATGGAAAATCTGGGACCAACCTAGGCTGCAAAACAAGACCGTATCTCAAATAAACAAAAAATTACAAACTGACATTTGAAGGTTAATGTGTCTGACTTTTTTAAAGTGTTATTTTTAATTATGTGTATGTATGTGGGTACGTTCACATGAGTTGCAGGAGCCCCAGGAGGCAGAGGCCAAAGGCAAGAATTCCCTGGAGCTGGAGCAACAAACAGTTGTAAATCACCAGACATGAGTACTGGGAGCTGAACCTGGGTCTTCTGCAAGTTCAGGATGTGCCCTCTCTAGTCCCGTATCAGTTTACTTTTAAATTTATTCCAAACAAGCCCTTCCTTCTTTATGCTACTGAAAGACTAGCTTCAACTACAATTTACCAAATTATTAAGGACCTCAGTTATAGAAACCCAGCTTAAACTTCACAGTATAGATCCTATGTTATAATGCTTTTTCTATTTAAAAATTTTGTAAATTGTTTAAAAATACACAAACAATAGTCTCTGATGCTCAGTAACATAGCAAATAACAACTTCAGTTGAGAGTTGAGACAAATTCTAAGAAATATTGTTCTCTGAACCACAAGTAAGTTGTTCTGTTAATGTGTACCAGTCCTAAATAACAATTGTCCCAAGTAGTACCCTCCAGAATAGGAATCTCAACTTCTAGAGCTAATTGACATACATAAATTTACAGTTAACTTTGTAACTAAAAAAAAAAAACCCTCCAATACTACAACTCCAAAAGGTAACCAAGATATTTGTAAAACACAAGTAAATGTGATCAGTGATATTTAGTGTTATACTATCAAAGTGAGCTATTCTCAAATAGCTTACTAAGATGTCAAGAACTCAGGGGAAAAAGCTTACTGCTCAATATAAATCTATTACACAGAATTCTTCATATATCAGTGAAGCAGAGGGTATGATTGATGTGGAACACAGCTATAGCCCCTACAATTTTATGTCATAACAATTATAATAAAATTCGTTTTTCCTATAGAGTACAGAAGCTTATTAAAAGTTTTATTTCTTTTATTACAACATGTGTAGAATCAGAGGACAAGTTTGTAATAATCTATTCTCTCCTTCCACCACATAATGCTTTGGGTGGCAAGTTCCTTTATCCTGAGTCATTTCGCCAACCCTTAATAATTCATTAGTTATAGCAGTTGCATCTAGCCCTTCAGAAAAGTCTCATGGTTTTTGTCCTTACCCTTCTTATAAAATTGCCTTACCATCGTCAGAGTAGATAGAAACAGGTCAGGAGAAATTAGCTAGGTGATCTAGTCTGCTTTTCTGTTGCTGTGATAAGCACCATAACCAAAAGCAAGTTGGAAAGAAAAGGATTCATTTGGCTTATAGGTCCATCATCCAGGGGAGCAAAGCAGGAGCTTGAAGCAGAAAACACAGAGGAACGACTTACTGGCTAGCTCCCTGGATCACATACCTACAGCTCAGGCCCACATGCCTAAAGATGGTCCTCCCTCAGAGATCTGGCCCCTCCCACATCAATTAGCAATCAAGACTATTATCTCACAGTCCCTCCCAAAGGCCAATGTGGTAGTCATAATTCTTCAACTGCGATTCTCTCTTCCCAGGTATGTCAACCTGACAACCAAGATTAACCATCACACTAGGACAAGACAATTTCCCATAGACGAATAGTAGCATGGGGCTAGAGAAAGGGCTCAGTGGTTAAGAGCACTGGCTGTTCTTACAGAGGACTCGGGTTCGGTTCCCAGCACCCATGTGGCTGCTAACAACCATCTGTAACTCCAGTTCCAGAGGATCTGGCACCCTCTCCTGGCCTCCATGGGAACTGCATGCATGTGATACACATATACATGCAGGTAAAATATTCATATACATAAAATAAAAATAAATATTTTTCTTTAAATGGCAGCCTAATCCTCAACAACTCTCTACAAGAAATGAAAAACAGCCAGGTGTGGTGCTTGTCTTAAATCCCAGCACTACGGAGACAAATCAGGGCAGATCTCTATGAGCTAGTCTGAGCTACATGGTGAGTTCCAGGCCATAAGCAGTCTCAAAAAAAGGGAATAAAAGAAAAACAACTTTGGAAAAGATGTCTTTTAAATTGTACTTTAGGTTCCTAAGATAAAATACACACCTTTTACTTTCCAGAACTAATGCTAAAAGAACAGTAAGAAACAAAGGCGAGGAGTACACAGTTATCTCTGAAGTACACTGTCTCTCTGAGGCCTTGGCTTCAATCTCCAGGACTGAAGAGGAGGAGGAGAGGGGAGGAGAAAGACATCAGAATATTTTTGCGTCAACGGTTATCAATTAGGGGAGAGGTGACCTGAACGTTACATAGAAAAAACCACATTGTGTCTGTGAAGTAAAAAGCTGTAGAATCCTTAAAGATTTTAATTTTTTTTATTTTTAATTGTGTGTGTGTGTGTGTGTCTGTGTGTGTCTGTGTATAACTGTGTATGTGCATGTGAGTGCAGGCGCTCACAGAGGCCAGAGGCATCAGAACCCCTGGAGATGGAGTTACCAGGTGTAACAGCATGATGCGGGTGCTGAGGACTGAACTTGAGTCCTTAGGTAGAGCTCTTAACCTTTGAGCCATCTCTCTAGTCCTTGAAGACTTTATGTGTATGAATATATTGACTGCATGTATGTAAGTGCACCAGTGGAGTTCAGAGGAGGGAGTTGGATCCCCTGGGACTGGAGTTACAGATAGTTGTTAGCTGCCATTTGGGTGCTGGGAACCAAACCCAGATCCTCTGCAAGAGTACCCAGTGCTCTTAAAACTACTGAGCCATCTCTCCAGCCCCCTTGAAGGCCTTTTTAGGGATTATTTAATGACATGAAAATATGCTCACGTTTTGTTAGTAAAAACGGCCACTCATAAAATTACAGAACTCAGTTCTTAGTTCTACCTTTTTAAAATTTTTTTTGGTCTTTTTGAGACAGGGTCTCTCTGTAGCCCCAGCGGTCCTGGAACTCACTATGTAGACCAGGCTGGCCTTGAACTCACAGAGATCTGCCTGCCTCTGTCTCCAGGGGTGCTACAAGTAAAGGCATGCACCAACAAGCCCAGCTGCTTTTTTAAATTTTATGTGTTTGTATTACGTGTGTGTGTAAGTGCACCTGCATCATGTAATGCCATGTGGGTACTGGGAATTGAACCCGGCTCCTCTGCAAGAACAGCAAGTGCTCTTAACCACTGAACCATCTCTCCAGCCCCCAGAAAAATATTTTCAATTAACATTTGTGCCTGATAAACTCAGTTAATCACACAAATCTACACTCTAAATCTTTTTTTTTTTTTTTTTTTTTTTTTTTTTTTTTTTTTCTCCCTATAGCCCCAGCTGGCCTGGAACTTGCTATGGAGACCAAGCTGGCTTCAAACTCACAAAGATCTGCTTGCCTCTGCCTCCCAAGTGCTGGGACTAAAAACACGTGCCACTATGCCTGGCTACACTCTAAATCTTGACTACCAAGAACTCCACATAAGAAAACAAAGTAGAAAAATTTCTATCGGTCATCACTAAGATTTAGGCATACCTGATTCATAGGTTAATTTTCAATTAGGCTCATTTACCTTTTTTTTCTGAGGCAAGGTCTCACTTAGGTAGCCCTGGCTGGCCTGGAACTATGTAAACCAGGCTGGGGACACCTGGCTCCATATTTATTTTTTAAACAGGAAAAAGTAGTGCCACCTTTAGTTATTGCATGTGGCATTCAATCAATAGCTGAAATTTAAAAGCACTAACAAATATTTATATCATTTTCTTATATTTATATCATTTTATATTTTTATTATCTTCATCTATAAATAAGTCAGTCCAGTAAGATGCTCAGCAGGTAGAGGCCTGCCAAGCTTAAAGATTTGAGTTCAAAACCCCAGATCCTCACTGTGGAAGAATGGACTCCAAAAGGTTGTCCTCTGACATCCACGTGCCCCTCTCCACACAAAAAATAAAGTGTACTAAAGGTTTTAAAGGTTTTGTTTTTTGTTTGAGACAGGGTCTCACTTTGTAGGCCCAGCTGGACCTCCCTATGTAGACAAGGCTGGCCTTGACCTCATAGAGATCCACCTACCTCTTCCTCCCAGGGCTGGGATTAAAGGCATGTGCCACAATGTCCAACTAATGAAAATATTTTTAAGTACATTTTAACTTGATAAAGACGTCAAGGCAATTTTATAATTTTAAGAAGGTACTCTAAAATTTAGGGAGGAAAAAGCTTTTTACTGTGGCTTAAATAAAAAACAATCACAGGTCTGGTGTGGTGGCACATACCTTTAATCCTAGTAGAGGCAGGTAGATCTCTGTGAGTTCTAAGCTACCAGCCTGATCTGCATAAGTAGTTACAGGCCAGTCAGGGCTACACAGCGAGATCCTGTATCAAAAAACAAAATAAAAACAAAGTAAAACAAACAAAAACAAAATCATAGGAGCTACTTGAATTCTCCATAACCTAATATATAGGAAGAGATTCTGTTTAGGAGTCTGCAACCCAACTCTTCTATGGACATGTTTTTTATGATAATTGTTTAGGTTTGTTATGTACTCATTTGGGGGAAAAGTGGGCACATTTGTTTCAGAGCACACATGTGGCAGTCAGAGGACAATTTGAGGGAGCTGCTTCTCTCCTTCCACTTTTCTGGGTTCCAGGGAAGGACCTCAGGTCCTTCAGGCTTGGCCTTGGCAGCAAATGCCTGTACCTGATAAGCTACCTCACCCACCCCTCTTATCTTGGTTCTAACTCCCTCATGCATAAAACAAAGATAACTACAAAGAACTGTAATAAGCATTAAATTGCCAGCACTAGGTCTAGCACACAATAGAGAACTCAGGGCATGTATAGTAACTTGCATGGGTTTTAATATTATTGAACTGAAAGCTCTCAACTTCAAATAGAAAATGAAAAGATGAAGACAAGCTTTCTGTTATTTAAGGAGAAAACCTAGTAAGTAATTGAGAGAAGAAACCAGGGCTGGGCCAGCCGTGGTGGTGCACGCCTTTAATCCCAGCACTTGTGAGGCAGAGGCAGGGGATCACTGTGAGTTCAAGGCCAGCCTGGTTTACATAGTGGGTTCCAGGACAGCTGGGGCTACAGGGAGACCCTGTCTCAAAAAGATAAAAAACAAAAAACAAAAACAAAAAAGGAACCAAATAGGTGAACTGGTCAGAGAGCAACAATTCCACAACGGTATCAAGATAAAGTTTTCACCAGAGTCAAGACAGCGCCTATAAAGAGCTGCTTGCTGCTTCCTTTGGATTCCCATGCATCACTGCTTACCAAGGCAAAAAATGATGATGTAACAGAAATACCAACTTTAAACAAAGAACTATTGGTTCAGCAAGATGGCTCAGGGAGGAAAAAGCGCTTCTCACACAAACCAGATCTTAGCTGAATCCCAGAATCCATGCTCGAAGAACTGGCTCCCATAAAGTTGTCTTGACCTCCACATCCAACACCCTCACTCACATACATTATTTGTACACCGCAATCGCATTAAAAACATAAAAAAGTATTGATACCCCTATACGTAGGTATTGATGCTAGCAAAATGTCTATTTTCTATGATAAATGTTGCAAATCTGACTGGCAAATTAAATCTGAAAAATCCAAGTATTCTCAGCCCCGTAAACGCTCATCAATACTTGGATGAATATTTAATTGAAATATGAACTTTGTATCTTATAATCAAAATGAGAACTAAGTTTTGCCTCAATAGAACATTTGCCGTGTTGAAGGGGGCACTTTTAACATTTTTACAAACATTTAAGGGAAATTTTAAGCTGGACATAGTGGTTAACACCTGGAATGCTAACATGGCGGGAAGGCAAAACATGCCTGTCACGTTCCTAGACTAGCTGGGACTATGGAGAGCGTCCCCAGAAATTATAAGCTCCCATTATTTTAAGTGTTTAACGTATATCCCCACGTGCTGCTTGTCCTTCATCAGATCTTCAGCTCCGCAACTTTTCTTCCTCGTCACGTACGTAAAAAATAGATGTGATTACTATAACAAAGCTATTTTAAGAGATAACCGGTATATGTATTTTGAAAATTATTCAAGAAAACAGCTACAGCACGATTAGGTCTGCACAAAAGCAGCACTACAGACGCATCTGTTCCTGCTAACGGCGAATCCTCTACACGGTTCAGGTCTTGATGGTTCAACCTCAATGCGGGACTGAGGGTGAAAGCGCGCGCACTGGCGAGGCCGGCAGCCGCCTGGGTTGGTCACCGCTCCCGCAGGGCCCTTCTCGCCTTAACCAGTCATCACAGCTGGGCGGGGGGCCTATCATACCACCGCGTCTGTGGAGCTCGCTAGACCCGGTCTGCAGTGCGGCCGGAGCCCGACACAAGCCGGGCGCTTTAAGAAGGGTCACGTTTTGCATGTGGGAGTGGAACAAAAAGCCAAGTTTTCTCGAACTGCAGCGACGCGCCCGTGTCACAGGACGTGTCCGTGCTAAGGCCTCGCTGGCCGCAGAGCGAAGGCGGCCGTGCGGGGTGGCCTTCCAGCAGACCAACCTTGGGGTCGCCGGGCCCAGCGGCTGGGAGACCGCGGGCCGTTAGGACAGTGGGTTTCCCGGACCGGCGGCGAAGGGCGCAGCCCGGGGCGGGAGCGAGCGAGCGAGCCGCGACCGCCCGCTTGGCGCGGGACGGAGCGCGGCTGAGCACCGACCTGGCCATTCCGCCTTCTCAAGCACGACAGAGGTCCCAGGGCCGTGCGACCGAGACAACAGAAATCGCCACCACGCGCCGCTTAACCTCTTTTTTTTTTTTTTTTCTAACTTCTTCCCGCCTGATTTGCCGCGCAGGCGTCACTCCACCAATTCCACGAGACTCCCTCGGGGCTCGAAAATACCCCTTCACCGCCCCCTCCCTACACACGTGAACACCCACTTCAAATCTCGCGAGAGGCTTGTCCCCTTTTCCCCTCCCCCCAACTACTGAGTGCGCGAACGAGAAAGGAGGAGGGCGCTCCTGGCGACAGCGCTGCAGACGCCATTATCCTCTGTTTCTTCGCTGCACAGACGTCGAAGTCTTGCCTGTTTCCCACTCGCTTTGCGGCCTGTAGGTACTGGGGTGACTGGAGCTTCGGGCCTGTGGGCTCGGGAGGAGGGCTGGCGTCCCCGGAAGACCGCTTTGACGACTTCCAAGCCTGGGCTTTCTCAGGCCCAAGGCCTTACAGCCCGAAGGGAGTCGCCGGCGGAAGGCGGGGTTCTCGGCTTCTCGGTCGCCCTAATTGACGCGGCCTTGGGCCAATCGCTTCGCCCTCGCACCACCGCTGGAGCTCGGGCAGCCAATCGGCCGCGACGACGGGATAGCAGGGCTCGAGGAGGCGGGTTGCCCTCGTTCTCTGCCTAGCTGTGACCGACCGTGCGAAGCGGCGCGGCCGTGAGCAACGGCGGACTCGAGCGGTGAGCAGGGCCGAGCGACGTGCCCGTGCGAGTGAGGCTCGGAAGTCCGGCTCCGCTAAACGGAGGCGCTCAGTTCAGGTTGGCTGCTGGCGCGGAACGTTGCCCGGTTTCCCCTCCCCCACCTCCGCCATTTCCCCGAACGTGTAACTGCAGTTGGCCTTGCGCTGGAGCCCCGGGAAGCCGTGAGGAAGGTGCCTGTGGGATGGGCTGCGGTGTGGGGCCGTCCTCCTAATGGAGGACGACGGACAGGCGGGCCTGATGAGGCCCGGGCGCCCGCGCTCTTTGTGTGGGTCCCCCACCTTGGGGGCCTCCCGGGCTGGGCCGGGCCGGGCCGGGCGCCGCGGCGGGGGATGGAACGGCCGGGGGCTTCGGCGGTTGCTTTGTCTCGCGGTGGGGGAGGGTGCGGGGCCGAGCTCTGGGCCCGCGTGCTGGCTGGTGGGGGAGGGGGCTCGCGCGGCTCCGCCTAGTCGCACGTAGTCGCCATTATGCGGGCCGCCATTTCCTGTCGGGTCCGGGCGAAGAGAGGTGCGGCGTGTCTGCCCGGCTCCCTCCGGAACAGCCGAGCCGGACGCTGCGCGCTGTGGCGTCTGCTCGGAGCGGATTTCGGGCCTGAGGACGGGTGGCTGCGGGACGCGCACTTTGAGATAGACCTGCTGTCTTCAGCGCCTGAGCTGCCCCCTTCCCTCGAGGTGAACGGGTGGCGAGTCTCTAGTAGGCAGGAGTGGCTGCTACTCGGCGCTCCGGAGTGGGCGCGAGCAGAAATGGGATATCCCGAGCTCAGCGCTGCTACGCAGCCTTCCGCTTGATAGGGGCACATGTTGACTGGCCCGGCCCCGTCGCCGCTCTGGCTTGCATAATCTTTAGTTTTTCGATTAGAGATGAAATTGTTGGAAATCGAAAATAGGAGTGGTGATACTCCTGGCTCCCGCAGCCTAGTTGGGATATTGGTAGCTCGTGTTTGGGGTCGTCAGTCAGGATTTTAGATTTCTGTTCCTAGTAGACTAAGAATTTCGTGTGCGGCTCGCATCCGCCAGTGTATTTGTAAACTAAGAGATGTCATTGAATAGGTTTTGAGTGTTCTGTCACAGAAAGATCAGTTACTAGCCTTACTTAAAACTAATTTTGTTGGTGATGAGGTGCTCTTTAATAAATCTGTGTACAAAACACAGGTCCGCCGACTTCTCAGATTGTAATGAAATAGGATATGAAACAAGTCCCCAGGGTGGGACATAATCCAAGGGCAGAAAATTGCTGATTTTCTTTGGGGTGGGGAGGGTGCCTCTGAATCTTGGAGATGTCAGCGGTTAGGCAGTAGCTGTATTGTGCTGAGGCAGTCATGCTGTAGCCCCGAATTGAGCCACCATACCTGGCTCTTCCACTTAATAGTCCTTTAGTTTGCCCAAATCAAAGTTGTGACCAGGAATTAGTATTCAATAAGAGGGAAACTGAATTATTTATTTTTTTAATAGGCTACTGCAGCACCAGTGTGCCAGTTGTTTGCCCTATACAGTTCTGCTCTGCAAGGATATATAACTGATACCTTTTATGAGCAGAATCTCTTTTTAAAGATTTTTTGCAAAATACACTTGCCAATAAGCCAAAATAGTCTCTGTTTTTCAACAGATTGGTGTGCCTATTTGAAACAAGAAAATGGAAACTGAACAGCCAGAAGAAACCTTCCCCAACACTGAAACCAATGGTGAATTTGGTGAGATATTTTAATTTAACAATGTTTTCTGTTCCATTAATTCATTATCACAAAATGATTGGTATATTTCTGTCTTTGGTCCTCTTACATAATTTCATAGTCTTGACTATGAAACTTGTCAGTTTTTATGATACACAAGAAGTAACCTTGTATAAGGTAGCTGAACTGAAACAGAACCAATACGAATTTTTCCAACCTATTTGTGGAATTTATTAACTTCTGAAACGTTTATTGCAATATCATCTTTAATGATATTACAAAGGAGGGTACAAATCAAAGACAGTAACAGTACCTTTATCCTTTCAGAAGCAGGGATGGGATTAACAGGGCTCTTCTTACTGAACAAAACTGAAATGTAATATAAAGTGTCCTTTCTTGAGGACTCAGCCACTTTCTTTAAAATATATATAAACTATGAATTTCTAGGTAAACGCCCTGCAGAGGACATGGAGGAGGAACAAGCATTTAAAAGATCTAGAAACACTGATGAGATGGTAGAATTGCGCATTCTGCTTCAGAGCAAGGTATGAAGTTTTATGCTTGGAATTTTGGGGGTTCATAATGAAGTAGAAATCAAGATACTTTAAGTTCTGATTTGACCCTGTGGGAAACTTTATACACTGAAGAATGAAGAGTTGTTTTATATGGTCCTTTTTAAAGGTTTTTGTTTGTTTTGAGGCAGTCCAGTATAGTCAAATGGCCTTGAACTCCTGATCCTGGGATTACAAGTATGCACGACCATACCTAGATTATGTGGTTCTTTATAAACAGACTTGTAATCCTTGGTGGTGGTGGTGGTGTTTTACGAGGTTAAAGCCCTGTTACCAGGGGATGCCACACATCAAGTCTAGAGTAGTGTGGGGGAAGTGAATCTTAAAGCATTTAATGGATTTTAGGTGTTAGTTATATTGTGGATCTCACAGGAAACTGTTTTACCTAACAGTTAACTGCTTTGTTCAAGTGGCACTATCAAGTTATTTACTACTTAAATTTTGATATTTTTCACAAAGGGGCACTAAAAAGTAATTTCTGTTTAGGAGAATTCTGGCATTATAAATTAAATTATTCATCCTCAGCAAATAGATTCTGGAGCTCTAGTCCTGTGCATAGGTTTTGTTGCTGCTAAAAGTGTAGGTGGAAACTTCAGTCCTAAAGGAAGGGCAAAGTAATGTTTCTGTCTATTCCAGAATGCTGGGGCAGTGATTGGAAAAGGAGGCAAGAACATTAAGGCTCTCCGTACAGACGTAAGTATTAAGCTACTAAACAAGCAGATTCATTGTATGTTTTCTAGAATTTTAAAGGCTTACATTCTAGAAACCATTTGATGTAGCTACAAACCATTTGTAGTAATTAATGGTTACATAGATAATTTCTGTTTTAATAAAAACACTGGATAAGGTGGAAGATTTATAATTCAACCTTTTCACTTTCTTATAAAATCCACCAAATTAATTGACCTCAAGCAAGGTAAAACATCTTAATTAGAAATAGTGACATTGTAAAAACTCTTAATTGCACCAATTCTTCCTCTGTGTGTGTGCGTGTGTGTGTGCGTGAGGATTACTGAAAGCCATCATAGATGGCTGATTTAAACCAACTTTTATTTCCTCTTTTTAATCGTCATATCTGTTTCACAGCTTGCACTTGGGGCAGAAAGATTTTGATGTTGAGGTTGCATGATTTAAACATGGATAAAGAGTAGGTTAATCTTGGCTATCAGGGAGCCATTTGCCTATGATTTGAGTCTTCATAATTTACAGTGGGTTGACTCTTGTGACTAGACACATTAAATGTTGGGAGCACCAGGTGTGAGTGTGTATTTCTAGAACTTGGCTACACCAAAATTGAGTTTTTTTTCCTCATAGTGTACTCATTTCTTAATGTTTTTCTTGGTAAAATTGAGGCAAATAAATGTGTTGAGTGCTTAACAGTTTCATTTCTCTTGGTCATGGATCTTTGTATGTTCCTCTTGATTACCTACTATAAACTGAACTTTTAAATATGTTTTATATTTTAGAAACCTGCCTATTAGATACAGGAATGTGTTTCAAATCTCAGAAAACTGAATCAGTCTTACTATTTGGGGGTTTTGGTGTGGGAAGTTTTTTTTTTTGTCTTTAAACCTTTCTTCTCTTAATCCAGATGTTCTGTATAATTATCTGGGTTATTTCCCCATTTTCCTCAAGAATTTTGAGTCATAACAGGTTTTGTGTCTACCCTCATGAGCCAGCCTGCTACTGAAACATTTAGAAAAAAAAAACTACTAGAGCCATCTTTTAAGGTCCTTAAATGTTAAGCCACAGTCAGGTATAGAGAAGTCCATTATTGTGTTAGTCTTCAGAACAACTTAAGCTTGTTTCATTAATTGAGAGTATGAGTATAGTTTGTATTAAATTAAAATTTATTGCTTTTCCCCCTTTTCCCTCTCCTTGTTTTTTTGGCCATATATCTCCGTTGCCCATGTACTGGATCGACTTACCCCTGCGTTGCCCACCATGACGTTGGCCCATCCGCCCCTGAACGCCCATGTGAAAACCCTGGTTGGCTATGCCCAAAAATGTGCTCGTTGCCAAACGGGTACAATACTTGACAACTTCTGATTGAATGCCCATGCCCAATGCCAACATCCACGAACGCCAATGACCAATGCAGTACAA